AGTACCTCTATTTGTGATATTTCCAAGCCATAACCTTTTCCAGACAAGCTACAATGACTGAGCTCCTTAAGTTTTCCGTCATAATGCTTGTTTTCTTGACAATAAACAACTCACCTCTACCCTGAACTCCCTCCAATTTTCAGCATACTTTAAAAAGTGTTTGTCACACAATAAACCTGCCAGTTGATAGGTGATAATCTCTTTTGAACACTTGGCTCCAGTTCCTGGAGTAGAGCACTTTGGTGAACAAATCTCATGCTCAACACAATGCCATCTTAAAAAGCAAAGTGAACAAGCAAAGGCAGAGAATAAAAGTGCACTTATTCCATTTTAACAAAGAGAAACGCCACTTGACTGTAGAAGCAAGTCTTCATTCCAAAACTAAGAATTTTAAAATGTAAATTTAACCCATATGATCATGAAGACAACTGCAGTACTGATAACAATGGACTGCTCTGAAGTAAAACTGGCTAAGGGCTCTGCTCCATCTCCTGGAAACATTATTTCCTACAAGCACAGTAAATTACGGTGTGCCCCATAAACATCTTTGATACAGCCCTTAATTCCTTCAGTTTCTAACGCAACTTTTAAAACCACTTCTAAATACAACAATCATCAGGAAGCAATCCTAAAAAGATTTTTAAATGGAATAACCAAAATAGTTTCATGTAGATTCAGACTTTCAACACACAATTACCTTGAGGGCATACAATCAAAATCAAGTAAGTAAACCTTAAATTAGCATACCTTTACAACAGGATACTGCTTTTGTGTATGTTCACATATGAAGTAAGTTCTGTTGTCAACTGTTAGATTACCATATTGCTGGAGACTTCTAGGCAAAACCCAAGTGTCTTTGAATTACAGCCAGCGCTGCTACAGGCATCCTAAAGGCATTGTTAACACTAAGAACAGCAGCGGTAATTTTTCAGTTTGACAGGTCCTAAATACCACTGAATTTTATTATCATTCCATTTTTATTGTAGCCATTGCCCAACACTCCTGAAATGACCTTAGAGTAAGACCATTGTAAAGAACGGCCTTAAACCAGTACTGTTCCAGCTGAACAATATAGGGACAACTTCTCTTCAATAGGAGCAAGGTCCCATATAAGAAAAAAGGAAGCACGCACCTACTACAGTATCCCAAGAAGAGCGTTGAGATCTATCACCAAGTTCCCTCAACCCCAAGTGCTTTACCATTTCGTTCTATCTCGTTTCCCCTGCAAATATTCATATTGCAGATGTGTTTAATATTTAAGTTGATACAAAACAATGCTCAATGTAAAGCTTACTTAGCTCTTATTGGAAACATTCCAATAAGTCACAGAGCAAGAGAATAGTTTTACTACTCGTTGTGGCACAGAGCTATTCTTTTTTAGTCAAATTTCAGAGATGACAGTCAGTATCGAGGAAATTAAAAGTTTGCTTTAATTCAAAGGAGTTGCCAAACTATCTCCTGGACAAGAAAGAAAAACTACATTTCCTGGAGACAGGTATTTCCTGGAAGGCTTCAAAATGACAAACTGGCTATAAACTGATATTCTCAACCCAAATATTTCTCTAGAGGACGTAACCCAACCCTAGAAGCATGCAGAAAGATTAGATCACCACAAACTAGATGGATGAAGGGACATCCATTTGGATGGGGGAGAGAGAGCGCTACGTGAGTAACTGATTAACAAAATAATAAGATCACCGAAAAGCAAGTAATTTTAAGTCAGTTTAGCACACTGAAGCATCTCTATGCAGGGTTACACAAGCACCAGAACAGGAAGAATGAAAGGCACGGGAACATGAAGCCCATGCCAGAGCTGGGAGGAGTGGTGGTGGTGCCTGCAGTAGCCAGCGTTTCGCTTGGCCAGCCAAGCCACCGCAACCCGAGTGTGAGCAGATCCTTTGCATTTCTTCACCTGCATCATTTATCAATATTTGCAAGGGGTCAGCCTACATTCCACGGTTGAGTATAAATGTTTTGTTTGTATTTTATCTTCACCTGTCCCGAGTTAAACATACTTTCAACTAACTTGGCTAATAAACCACCTCTCTTGGAAAAGTATGGCAAGTGTGTAGAGATGGAAATGTGTGTTCCACTAACCAAAAATAAGGAGGAAAGCTCCTCCAAAAGTAAGGACACAGCAGTACATTTTGGAGCAGACCTGAATGTGGTGGGAATCCATCACAGAAAGCATCAGTACTTCATACTGTGGTTGGGACACAGAAGAATGGCGAAAAGCATTGTTCAGGCTTCTTGGCCACAATACTAGATGTCACCCACACAGTTCAGCTTTGCAACATTAAAGTCTCCAACTCCAAGAACTTCCCATCTCCCTCCTTTGTACCCACCCTGACCAGTTCCATGCCAGTTCATACATACACTCAGCCTACTTGCTAAATTAAAATCTGAAAGCTCTGAGAAGTTTGACCAAAATATGCTAACAACTTTGGGGGTTTTGTATAAAGCAAGCCAGAACTGAATTCTTGACTTTACTGCCCATTTTAAAGAGACATTTCTGTTGGCAATCTGCAGGCTATCTGAAAACTCAAGACCTTCTAACCCATTCTGAAAATTGCCAGTTGAAAATTACTTAATATAAAACACCATCCCAAATATGTTTGCCTCTTGTATACTTCTACCACTCATAGAAGTTTGGTCTATATTTATAAATCAGAGTCAACGTGGGTCATTTTAAACATCCTTTTAAAAGCACAGTTTTAATTTTCCATCTGTCCTGTAAACTTCAGCACTGAATAATTACATTGCTATATTGCACATTCTGTCTCATGTCTAAAAAATAAGGACAGAAGCAGATAACCATATGTCATTCAAAAGCAATATTCATTACTTTGACTAAACAAAACACTTACTTTTCCATGAATGGATTCATATTCATATTGTATACAATTGTTTGACTCCAAACAGATGGTAGTGACTCAACATTTTGCCAGTGGGATTATAAATATACCCTCAATCTAATAAGAGAGCATATAAGTCGTTATCGATTAAATGCGCAAACTTTTAAATCCACAAACTCAGATACAAATGTAACAAACTCAGAACAACTTCAGTCCCAATCCAGGTCTGTGATTTTTGCATATTAATCAAACCAAATCTTAATCTTTTCACAGAGATCACTGTCTTTTCAAAGCAGGACACAATTCAAAGCATCTTCTATAATAAACATATACGGCAGCTTTTCAAATCCCTCACTGCAGATTCTCCAACCAAGTTCTACTGAGATGAAAATCTCAGTATCAAAACCAGGTAAAAATCTACTTAAGAAAAACCATAAAACTACGGATCAGGTATACAATGCAAATTAACTAAGACACAGAGAACACCTCTAGTCTCCCTCATTTGTTTTTGCTTTGGGGGTTGGTTGTTTTGGGTTTTGGGGGGTTTTTTGTGTTTTGTTTTGTTTTTTAATGATTTCAGCCCTTCCCTAGTTTATTTCCTTAATAGCATTGTAGAAAATTTTAGAAAGATTCAATCACAGAACAGAAGATAAAACAGCCTATCTTCTGTTGTGTGATTGAAAGCAGGAAGTGATTTTACACTTAATACACCTTTAGTACCTCCAAATGCAAAAGCTTCTGCCCACACAGTTAAATATAGAGCAGAAAGAGCATGGAGAGATGCATGCGTGTCTGATATCAAACAATGATGTTGAGATTCTCCAAATGGTTTGAAAGTGCAAACTATTGAGACGGGAAGGGTAGTGAAGATCAGAAAACAGGAGAAAAGATGTCCCGCTCAAGGTGAAATGAAGTATGTTACTGAAGCATATCCAGCGTCTACTAGAGAACCAGACATTTATCACTTGAAATAACAAGGAATTTTGCAAAGTCAAGAGTGAGAATTCAGACTAGAGAAAGCTACTCCCAATAAAACTATGATGATAACCTAAGAATTAATTATAGAATTTACACTTCCCTGGATCAGAAACACTCTTTGAGCCCTGGCAGATGTGACATTTATTATGTTTGACATATAATTATGAGATCAGATAACATAAACCCACATTATCTGCCAGTTAAACATTGTCTTTTGGTTGCTGGCAGCCCTGTGCCAGAGGGCACAAAGAACTCTGCTATAGTGCTACCAGAGTTAACAGCTCCCACCACACCAAAACTCACCCAAGCCAATTGCTCCCTGACCTCCGTGTCTCGAGAATCAAATATTCATGTGTTCAGATACCATCTGTCCCTGAGTCCTTTCCTAATTTTTAACTATCTAATCCATTACCTGATATAAACAACTGTAAGTGATCTGCCCCCCAGCAAATGAAGTGTTTGACAACACTGACACCAAGTGACAGAATTCAGAAAAATATAAACCAAAACAACCCCCACATAGAAATGTTAGAGCATTTCATCAGTATGCTCTGAAAGAGGCAAACCGTTATTTTACCAAGAACACAAAAAAGACATGAAGACCTATTATGAGAGCTGACATTTTCACAGAAGCCATGCATAAGTATGTCCAACATTAAATACATGTTAACAATTCAATTTAATGTTGATCTTAACAAGCACAAGTCAAAGATCGCACACACTTCAAAGTTTTATGCAATCTAGCCTTGTAAATCCATTTATAAAGGAGAAAAAAATGAGTGGTTTGTATGCACAGTCAATACATGATTCCATTAACTTATGCAGATTCAGTTCACTTTTTCAAGTAAAAAAAAAAAAATCTAAACAGTACTTTTATACCCATTATAATTAGAAAAAAAAAATGTTATATGTTAATACAAAGTTTAATAGTCTGCTAAGTCTTACTTGCTTTACCTGTCTCTCTGTTGAGAAATCAAAACCCATGTAGTCCAACATCATATGCATTCAATAGAATTGTCACTCCTCCTAGTGGCTTACATGATGACATTACAGAAAGCATAAAACCCTACTGATTGAACAATAACCCTAACAAACCCATTAGTTTTACCACCCACCATGTTTATGCCCAGTATTCTATGTGTTCCCTCCAAGCTTTCCTGTTCTTACCTGCTGACGTTTGTATGCCAAATAATCAAGATTTTCCAGATCTTTTCGAAACTTCTGGTAGGTTTTCTGTAGATCAGATTTACTGGATACATTTCTTAAAGATTCAAACGTTCTTTGAAACTATGACGGTAAAAAAAAAAACAAAACAGATACCATTACTCACACTGTTTCTGTACTTTTTGCTGTATTAGGATTTTATTCTACTAAATACTAATGTTATGGAGCTGTATCACTTCTTGAGTATACCACCTTTTAGATATTCCTACAATTTTGTTTTGAAATCAATCCCAGAATTCAAAGCAAATTACATAGGCCCTGTTTAATTAAATTTAATCGTCTAAATTCATAGGTGAGACCTTCGTAAGACAAAACACTATGAAATCAACATAACCTCTACAGGTTAGTCCTTTTTCTATGCCATGTTACAGGGTGGAGTATATTCACATAGTTTTAATTTTTTTTTCAACTAATAAAAGCATATGCAACTTTATACAGGCCATGAACTCCTCATTCTATCAAGCGTAACAGTAGACCTTGTATATAATAGGGTACTCCTTACTGAGTTAATTTACTTAAGAGTAATTTGCAAGACCGGACACGCACCTTGGGCAATGTGCTCACATTCTGTATGAAAGCTGTGATAACATTAATTATAGTCCGTTTCAGATCCTACTTTTAAATTTAAAACTTATTTCATGCATACACTATTATTAAAAATAGTACTGGTATTTTTCAAAGAGATGAACAATACCAACCATTCTGTAGGGAACTGTAAAGAGAAAGGCTTGTATGAAAGGAGAATGAGAGCTACAGCTTCCTCGCCACCTTCAGGAAATCATGAATCGTCTCCTCTGACTTTATCTGTTTCCCCATCTGTAAATACTCTTTTTCACCTCACCATTTTACAGCCGTCACATGCAAGTGGTTTAGAAACATTTTGTTACCACAGTGATTACCACCAGAAGCAAGTCTATAAACATTTATTTACACTGATATAATCAGGAAGAACTTTATCTTCTAAATACACCCTAAATACTGACTTAGCTTATTACAGTTACAGGCCCGATAGATGAACTACCTACTGTAAGCTTGCATGTGGTACTAACGTCCAGGGAATGAGGCAAAAGACCAAAAGAAATGGACCCCTTTCCAGTCAGTTCCGGAAAATCCATTATTTCAGTAGTAACTACCGTGCACATTTCTCTATAACCTTGCAAAAACTAATCATTGAATTGGAAAAATGAACCATAGGAGTAAAAGAGAAAAAAAAAAAAAGAAAAAGAGAAAAAAAATCCACCCTCCACTCATCTTCAGCCCCACTTTAAAAAGCTGACAACAGAACTGACAGCTGTGGATGTCGACTGCTCCACAGTATGACTCCTTCTGTGGGCATCTGACTGAGATCAAGCCCAAGTTGTACACACTGTTGAACAGCCACTGGGTAATTCCTCTTTAATGCAATGGACTTCAACTGATGATTCACAACATACAGATACATCCTGGAATCTTCAGGTGAGTTAGCACCTTTTGTTTGCCACATTGCAGTCTTTATTTCAGTCTCACTGCTCTCATAACCAAGAAGTAAGTTAAGGCAGCATTTTTATCTGTTTGTAATATACCTTACTATACTGCATTCAGCGCCACTGGAGGTTAACTGAAGACTTTCTGGTTGCATTTGAAATGTCTGCTACCAAAAAATAAAAGAAACTTTTCTCACCCAAAGTATACTTCACTGAATTCTGTAACAACACGGGTGACAACATAAATGTTAAGACAAAACCACAAGACTATTCTTTTCTGTTTGACTTCATTATTTTTCACCTTTTGTAGGATCTGTTGTTTTCAGATTTTTTTAGAGAGTTGCTCTGAAAGCCTTGAATTTGCAATGCTTACTTTCACCAGTTCCCACTCCAGGGTATCCCCATTAGGTGGAAGCAATTTAATCACAACATCTGCAAGCAAGACCTGAGTACAGTTTAAGCTGACCAAAAGCTATCCATAGCGCTCCCTCTTTACAAGTGTGTAAGAAACTGCTCGTAATATATCTGTACAAGTTCATGCTACACCCTCAGCTCCAAATCATGACACGCTTCTCCAGAAGTTACCCCAAAGCTGCTGCACCCTGCTACAGGGTTGAGTAATACAGGGGAAAGGTCTCTAATGATTCCCAAACTCACTAAGTCGACATAAGGTACAGTCTTTTTTTGAGCTTTTATCATCATCAACATGTTAGACTACAATAAGTAGTACAGTTGTAGAATCATCACCATCAACTTCTTCCTAAGGATGTACTTAATCACATCGCTTCAATTCTTCCTTTGGCAGGAACTCTACTAGCAAGCTCATGCACTTCCTTATGTCTTGAAGCAACCCAACCATTCATAATACATTTGGCTCTCTGGAAAGACATAGAAGAACCAGCACGTGAGGATGAGTAAGTACAAACCAAATGTGTAACTGTAAGGGTAATATACTCCAATAAAATAGATGGGTAACGCCCAGGACATACACTTAGAAGTAGTCTGTCTTTAAATGCAAGGGAAAAACACTTTTTTTAAGATTTAACTCAAAAGTAAATAAAAACTAAGCAAGCCATTTCAAGAAAACATACATATGCTCTCTTCACTGCCATCAACAGCAAATCAGAAAAATGTGCCTTGGACACACAAGGCTATCAGAACATGTTTCAAACTTAAACCCACATCTAGATCTTCCTGCATCATTCTGCTATCAATGTGAACCACCATTTTGGGGTGAATGGCAAGAAAAACCTCTCTTGCTGACACTTCTACTGTCTAGAGGTAAAAAGAAATACTAGTACTCTAGAAATTACTTTTTTTTCATCTCTCACTTATAGCCAAATATAAATAATCATAAGAGATCCACAGAAGCTCTTTTTTGCCTGTCACTTTCTAAAAGTACTTTGAACATAGTTTCTGGAAGTTGAGAAATAGCATTCCTTTATTACTTTTGCTCTCTGTGGCACTACTGGGTAATTACCTGGACTAATTTTCCCTCTGAGGAAAGCTGGACCACAAGTAGAGAAGAAATACCAGTATTTTAACAATTCTGAAGATCTGCTTCTGTTTGTCAAGTTATTGTATATAACTTCATAGCACACATACTGCACAGCCAACTTTGTAACTTTTCAAAACATAAGAACGTCACATTACATTCATGAACATTACAACATTCCTTTGATAATAAAAAAAACCCACAAATCAACCACTGCCCTGCCACTAATACATACAAGGTGGATAACACGCCAGACGCTGTGTCCTGAACACGCACTGTGAAGACATTGCTGAATGAAGATTGTGTGCTTATCTGACTGGAAACCAACGTACGATGGGTGTCTTAAACTAAGCGCAGCAACTCTCGTAGTCCCAGTTCAGGTATCTTGCAGGAACAGATACCATGAAAACTCTGAAAGTGATGAAGATCCAGAATGTGGATGAACCAGAAGAGTGTTATTAATATGGCCTCTTCATAAGTATGATGCCCCTGATTAGTATGGTGAAGTCCTGCAACCTCCTCTCAGACAATGACCATGGTTCTATCTAATTAGTAAGTATGACTGTAAGCATAAGGACTACATTTCTTACAGTATCACAGCTTATTCACTGTAATGTCAAGAAGAGATATGAGCTCTGACCAAACTTTCTCCTGCAGTAAAGCTGTTTATAAGGGCTGAGAATCCTCTGGTGTCCTTCCAAGCTCCCGATGTAGCCTTTTTTTTTTTTCCTCCACTAGCCATCTACCTATTTTCAGGAACCTTGGAACTTCTGGTCTTCTGGTCTTCTCTCCAAGTTTAATGGGAGTCCCTTGACAAGCCTGGGAACCTCAATATGAGCCATGAAAATTAATGGCCTGTCAGCTAAACAGGAGGCCAGGCCACAAAAATATGAGATCACAAATACGCAGTGTAAAGCACTTCATTGCTTACAATTCAGAGATGTGGGAGGAGATGTCATTAAATATGGAGTACAAAGTCTTATTCCTGGTAATAATCTTACAATCTCCATATAAACAGAAAGAGGTATGGGAGGCAGCAGATACTGCATCTTCAGTTTGTGAATGATGCCATTTGACAAACCACATGCCTTTAATGTCATTTGCCTGGAAGTCTAGCTAAGTCCTAAGGGTGATGTAGTCAAATGTCCTGCTGCACACCCTTTACTTTGTCTCCTTCTATGTACTTGGTTCAGATTTAGGACCAATGCTGCAAAAAGCCAGTCTGTTCTTCAAGAATAAGGAGAAATAGCTCTTTTCTGGTTTATCTAGAGCTGCAGAAGGGACAGAGTATTTGTCTTTCAGAATATCAAGATTATCATCTTCCACTGTGCACGGCAGCAAAATAGCACTGAACTATTCTATCCATTTGTGAAATATTTCTCTTCATTTTCATATGGATTGGAAGAAGTTGAATTTAGGATGAGAAGCAAATTTTATTTCCATTCTGACATAAGGAAACCATTCATTAAAAAATAGCTTCCTGTTTTAATAACATACTGCTTCTTTAAAAGACTAAATTATACTAAATGTACTATTTTAAATCACCGGGAGATATGGCTGGAAAAAGAAAAAACATTCAGAACCTCTCTTAAATTCCAATTATTGAACACATATGAGAAAATAGCTGCTGTCCCAATATTTTGCTGTAATGGAATTGGCAATGGGCCTCTTTGAAGAGGTTTATGGAGAGTTGGTCACACAGCTGTTTCCATTCAGAAAATATCAGATGATTTTGCTCTCATTTTAAGAATGTCTGAAGATGTGCATTTTGATGATAAAGCAGATACTGTTCTGCATGCATTTCCTC